GACCGATTGGCCAGCTCAAGTTGTGCCGGACGACGCAGTGTAGGGGTGTAGTGCGGTTTCTGAAGGCACGTCTTAGATTTTCATACACTTCCTGGTTGGCAGCATGGCAGTGTCAAACTATGTTACTCACACTAAAAGGAACTCAGACTGTGGATGTGGTTTTATTATGCTGCAGCCTGAGAGAAGCTAGTCTCCCTACCATGTTTTAGAATTCTGATCAGCGGCACAAAATTGTCATCAAAACCACAAAACTGTAACTGGCTTTAAAGAATTGTTGAAGTTAAAGCTTTACTTGTAAAAAAAAAAAATCTGAAAGATTTGATTATCTACCAGCGTGGTGTTTTCTTTTCTACATTTAGTGACCACAAAACAAGATTTGTAGTGCTTGCAACAGTGTTTTATTTAAGAAGGTCCCTTTTTATTTAGACTGCTACTTCAGGAGTTTAAACTACATCAGAACATCATTTACATATGCTTTAAGTAAAATGCTGTCTAATAAGAGAAGATGTCCAGGTGCAAAAAGAAAGATACTTCTGTTATTGTGTGCATTGCGAGAGCAGTCATTTCGATGTGTCATGCTAAAGTGAATCACAGTTTTGTTTTTATTTGTTTGTGTGTTTAGTAGGCTGTGGGTCTGAGTACTACAGTGCAAACGGTCAGGAAAATAAAACCATGCAAATTCAGAACAGTTTGAGGGCTTCTGCACTTCATTGACAGCAGCTACATGTCTCTCTTCTGGAGCTGTACGGCAGCACGAACACTCTTTAAGGAAATCATAAATCCCCCTGCTGGCTTCCTCAAATTAAACTTTGCCCCACTTGTGGGTGGTTACCTTTCCACTTATTGTAACAGGTTATACCAGGTAACCGAATGAGATCTCTTGAGTTTATCATTGACATCTGAGCCGGATTCCTGGGCCTCCATGTGCTCATGAGTTATGAGCGAGCTTGTAAGTTTAACGCCCTGCCTCACCCACCACCTTTTCACTGGCTTTGTGTCTATGTTTTGGCAGTGCTTCCATGGTTAGTTTCTAGTGAAAGCTGCCAGGCCTAGGCCAGCCCTCGCAGCTTCAGTTTTATCAGTTGCTTACTCTCTTCCTGCTTCGCTCCCAATATGACCAATCAGGTTTCCTTCCACTGCTGGCAGCAATGAGTCACTTAGCTGTGGCACTTGATCAAAATCCACTTTTCCTAGGAACTGCCACCCCCCTCCTCATTCCAGTTATCTTGCGATGCCCTCTTTGTCCCACCTTGAACTTTATTGACCTGAGTAAAGTGATTCCCTTGGTTGTTGCCATAGAGGCAAAAACAGTTGAGTTAGTTTGTGAAATAAGGGCAAGGGAGAAAGAGATATGATTTTTTTTTTTTTAAAGTGTTATGGAAGAATAGACGGGGCCATAGGGCCAACCAGATGCAAAGATTTTTCACGTTTTCATTTCTGGAGCCGCAGTTTCCTCGAGTCTTTATACAAACACTTGAGGTCCTAATAAATGAGTTACTTGGATAGCGAATGAGATGGTGAATGCATAAAGTCTTCACCCGAGTAAAGTTGAGAAATAATTGTTCTCTTGTAAAAAGTCTAGGACTACAAACAGATAAAATTAATAATTTTCCTGCATTTCACTTTTAAAACATGGCTGCTACATGCTCCATTAGCATTTATAGTTTAAGGGCTCTTTAATTCACTCATGTTTGTTCTGCTTGTTCTCTTTTAAAGGCAGATTTCTCAGCACTTTTGAGTTGTGTAATATTTTTATGAGCCAATTACAAATTTTCATGTTTTTCAAGTTTAAGAAAGAGGTAACTGAAAGTTTTGAATAACAGACAGATACTGATGTGGTATTCGCTGTGAAATTTGGTTGACGGTTGTTTTTCGGTTGCTTTTTTGTTGTTGTGTGCATTAAGCAATATATTTTCTCATCTAAAAACCACCTGAGGTTGCGCAGACTGTTTCTTTGTATTTTGGAATGAGTGGTATGTTTCACAGATGATGTGTTTCGGCCAAAATACTACTGCTTTTACTAAATACCCGCGCTTCCCGTCATAACGTGTTTGTCTGCGAGTGAGACTAAAATCGGGTACAACTGTCTTGGCAAAGATATTTAATGCATAGGTCACTGCACAGTCAATCGAAACAACAGCAAAACAGAAAGTCAAAAACGACCGTTGTGTGCAGATATATGGGAAGGGGCAGATTACAGATGAAATGAAGGTGATGAGGGCGGGGAAGGGATGGGTAGGTCCTATTTTAAAGGACTTGTTTGACTTGCAAAGCAGGCCTGGGTGCTCATGGACTGAGCTTTGAGAGGAGGCCCTACCCTGGACGGGGAGCACCAGGGACACAGACAGCTGCTGCGCTGCTTTGTGCCGGGCTGTGGGCCTTGTCACCCACAGGCATGAATTAGTGATAAGGAATGTTTCAAGCCATGAGGAGGTGTCAGGATCAGGTTTGTTGCACTGTGTTTCCTCTTTCGTAGTGCTCTTTGTAGGTTTATTTGAGGACAGGTGGCTTTTGCATGCGGAGTTGTGCCTCCGCGCTTCATTGGCGCTGGATCAAGTTTGCGCATGTATGCGTGTGTGTTTTGTTTTTTTTCTTTATCTCCTCTCAGCTCAACGTCTTTACCCCAAAAAGCCGTGACCTAGGGTCAGCTTTGTATGTGCGGGGGATAGCGTGCTATACAAGCTTGTCTGGTCTAGTGCAGGTGCTGTAGATCTGTATTAGAGAAAAGCAGGTTGGCTCGGGTCTGGATGGGCTCACAGAGATCTATTTCCACCTGCGAAGGACGTGACCGGTAGCCATGTGGTTGCCCTTTCTCTTGCTCTTTCTTCCATCTCATACCGCTCGTGCTCGCTCTCTCCCTCCCGTGTCATCTCTCTTTGTCTTTGCTCTCATCTCCCTCCCCCCCCTCAACATATTCAGATGAGGGGTTGGATAATAAAATTTGCTCTTGCCATGTCTGACAGTCCGCTTCTATCAGAGCTTTGCGAAAGACGTTGGCAGTGTTCGCAGAGGCTTTCTGGTCAGCTGCCTATCAAAACTGAATTGAGTTAAGAGAGAATTACAGCAAATAATAAAAAAAAATGGTGGAGCCATTACATATTTAACACTAATCAAACACAGCACAACGATGTAAACACGTAAATCAGTCTTGTGTGTGATCTCTGGATGTAGAAGCTTTTAGATTTTTGGGTAATTAATGCAAAAAAAAAATCATTGACCTATTTAGTTGCTCATAATAAGCTTAAACATGCATCTGCTTATTTGTACAAAGGTGACATGTTGCCAAATCTCAGGTGTGTCATCAGATTTTTCCAGAGGAGAGAGAAGGAGAGGTTAGCATGGGTGAACTGGGACAAAAGAGGAGAGGCAGCCAGGTTTGGCAGGTTTGTTAGTGGGGTGTAGTGTACAAACACACCAGAAGGTCTGATCTGAAGGAATGTCATTTCAATGCCTTGCTCTCGTAGAGAGCAGCACATGCAACACATCCCTGCTTCCCACCACCACCCGCTGCCCCCTGCTGGGTCTCCCTGGCAGATGGAGAAGGGGGGAAAGGGTTGGAGTCTGTATGTGTGTGTTTGATATGTTATTGATGTTACAGTATTTTGTGTGCCCGTGCGTTCATAGAGAAACCAAGGATGGCTTGTTCTGCCGAAACCCCCCTCCCACTGCGCAGGCTTCAGTCGATCATTTTAATCTCCCCCCACATGTGAGCGAGGGGACAGGCCTTTTCTGAAACTTGGCACACAGTACAGGGTGGGGTAACCAGCTCAGACCGGATTGACAACCTCCCTTTTTAATACCGTTCCCTCGCAGCTTGTTGCGTGTCCTCTTCCTCCTCCTGTGGAGTTTTTTCCACAGGGTCTGCTCTGGCAGCCCCCCCCCCCCCCCTCCACCTCTTTTCCTCCACCTCTCTCACTTCCCTCTCTGGCTCTCCACCGACACAGAGAGCATAGCCTGCACAGCCCAGCTCCCAGCATGCACTCTGATCCCCACAGCCCTCTGCCTATCTGTCCTCCACGACCTCTTACTTGATTCCTTGCACAAGTGCATGCACACTCCCATAGATGTGGGCGTATATACAAGGAAATGGGCTCCTAGCCACCTGCATGGATGCAGTCCAAACATCTTCACCCAATTGTTGACCCAAATGTAAATTGTTGCAGGCTACTGTTTATTCAGCACCATTAGAATCTAATTCTTTGCACCAAATATATGTAACAGACCTGTTTTGCACAGAGTTTGTAACCAATCTGCTTGAACAAAGTAAATTGTTTACAGCGTTCAGCAAATTTGGCAAGTGTGAAATGCTCATGGTGAAGTTTGGTTTCAGTCAGGTTTATAGCAGGATCTTTTTATTTTGAGCAGCATGTCATGAAGATTTTGATGTATGTGGTTCTGGGAAGGTTTGATGTATTTTCACAGAAACTGTCGACATGTTGGTGTGAAAAAGCAGCAGAGAAGTTTTTGAACTGCCAAGAAATTAATGAATAAAGATGAGTGACTCATTAGAAATTTTTATTGACCGGCTGGAAAAGTCAGTACAGTTTATTTGGTTGAAGATCATAGGCTAGAAAAAAAGTCTGTATTCAAATGGTGTCATATTAGGCTACAGACTGGTTATGACAATTTTTAAGAAATGAAATTCTTTTGACTGTATTCACATGTTGCTTCAAAGCTCAAATGGAGGCACCCTAATTGTACATTCAGTTTTATATTTGACAATATTGTCAATTTTTGGGCTACCAGATATGGCCCAAGTTCGTAGATGTTTTTGCAGTTTTTCCAAAGATATTTAAAAATCTTTATGCGTATTTTTACCAGCTGCGTACTGTGAACTGAGAGCTCTCCGTTCTTGTGCTTGATATTTAAATGATTTTCAAATAAGGCCTCCGCAAACTTTTGATTCAGATAATACATGTTTGTTTCTCTTTCTGCGTCCATGTAATACCTGTCTGCTAATTTCCTCTTTTTCTTTTCCACCTGTTTCTACTCTCCTTCAGATAGGCAGACGGACAGACGGCAGGACGGATACACGGGTGGGGGCTGTGCTAGGCGGCTCGGCGGCAGGCTGGTGGAAGATGTCGTTAGGAGCCGGCGGGAGGGGCGGAAGGCGGCTCAGGGGGATAGCAAGCAGTGGGGGTGGAGGAGGGAGAGGTGGAGCGGGAGAGGCGGAGGAAGGTCCTGTGGGGATCCCTTTCCCTGAACACAGCGCAGACATACTGGGCAGCCTGAACAAGCAGCGGCTCAGCGGGCTGCTGTGTGACGTGCTCCTGGTTTCCCAAGATCGGGAGTTCCCAGCTCACCGCTCCGTCCTGGCGTCCTGCAGCACCTACTTCCATAAGCTCTTCACGTCAGGGGTAGCCGCCGACCAACAGAACATCTACAACATCGACTTTATGACAGCGGATGCTTTGGGAGCTTTGCTGGACTTTGCCTACACGGCCACGCTGACAGTCAGTCACAGCAGTGTGGCTGAGATCCTTGCTGCTGCACGTCTCCTGGAAATCCCACCTGTCCAGGATGTCTGTACACACCTGCTGGACACCAAAGTGCTCTCCCCGCCGGTATGAGACTTTTAATGCTAAAGTAACTTGTGTCACAATTCAAATTTAGGCATGAACTGTACTTTAGCCAAGTAACTGATTCATTCACATGGTCAAAGGGCCACCCTGTCATTAAGCCATCAACTTCAATTAATGCTCAGCATAGTGAAGCTTATATCACGGCCTTTATCAGTTTCTCTCACTATGCCAAACACACTCCCACAGCCGTGGGGTTAGTTCAGCGCTTACTCATTCTGAGCCAACAGCATTCATGGAGGGACAGCATGCTCTTTAACAGAGTACAGACACAGCACATTGCAACTACACTTCAATGTGATCAAGTGTAGCTGTGACATGCTGCACTGCATGGATAATGCTTTACATCATGAGATAAGATGACGTGATGTCAAATCATTATCGGAAGCTTTCTAGCATCTGTTGTTACATTTTATCAAAAGTTGAAGCCTCTTGATAACCTTTTTCAAGACTGGTGTTTTTAAGAGTTACAGAGTACGGCAGCGAAGACATACACAGGATCGTGTGCTGCGTTATTGTTCGTTTTATACATACACCGGGCATGAATGTTCTTTGCCAATTAGTTTTCATTTTCTCATTGCGCATACTAATACCCATGAGCGTACTGAGCGCCTCGGTTTGCATCCAGGATACCGAGTCAGTGCTGAAAAGCATCAGACCCTACAGGTCTGCACGCATCATCCTTTTGTATCTGATAAACATTTTAAAACATTTTATTTTAAACATGCATTTCCTCCTCTGCCTTTAGTCCGTCTTCTCTTTATGTTTTTATTTGTGTTTTTTTTCACAGGCTTGTAACACTTCGTTTGTTCTTATTTTTAGGCGGGCAGTGAGCAAAAAGGTGAGGGTGAAGATGAGGATGGGAAAGGCAAAGGAGGAAGGGAGCAGGGGAACCGGGTGCGGGCCCGGGAGTATCTGGAGTACTTCCAGAGAGGGGCGCATTGGAGCAGCAGCTGCAGCACGCCGGAGCTCAGGGACCTGCCCACCGCACACCTGCACTTTAATCACGGTAACGGGGGCACCCCCAGCAACGGGGCCCCTGTTGGCCCCAGCGAGTACTACTCCCCCTTGGCCCTCGCCTTGTCCCAGGTCCCTAAACAGGAACCAGAGGAAGAAGACGACGATGAGGATGAAGATGAGGATGGGGACGCGGTGCAGGGTAATGGAGGAACCCTGGGGTCCTCATACTACCCTCCGTCCCAAAACGGACACTTCTACCTCCCTCACAATTCTAGGCTGGGGCAGGAGCCCGAAACGGAGGACACTTGTAGGGAGGCGATGATAACGGAGAGGGGTTCAGCAAGTGCCCTCCTGCAGCAGATGATGGACTCCATCGAGAGGCAGAAGGAGCGTGCTACGACCGGTGAGGACCAGGGAGATGGCGATGACCCTGACATGGAATTTTACTTGAATTATTTTAGCAGTACACAGCACGAAGATACAGCGTCATCCGCTGTAACGCAGGGAGTGCCATCACTCTGGTTATCAAGAGGCAGTACAGCCCAAGACAGAGTAGGAGCAGAGAGGGGGGTTGGAGAGAGAGCCAGCGGGGGTGGAGGAGAACGGAAGATGCGCTCCAAGGCCTTCCAGAAGTGCCCCATATGCTCCAAGGTCATTCAAGGGGCAGGCAAGCTCCCGCGTCACATCAGAACGCACACGGGAGAGAAACCCTACGAATGCGCCATCTGCAAAGTGCGCTTTACCAGGTAAGCCCAATTAATGAAGAGACTTCCTCAAGTCACATGTGCTAATAGTCTTGGACACTGTTGACAAAATGGCCAGCAGCGGGGAAACACAAAGCCAAGAGCAGGAGTATTAGCGCTAACCAACTTAGCTTTGTATTAAGTAGACAGTGCAGCTTGTGAAGCTGTGTGTGTGCGTGTGTATTTACGTGAAGATGGAGTGATTAGGCCCTAACCAGGATTTTTCCCGACATAACATTGAAGCTGAATGTTAATAACAATGCCACGTAGAATCTTTCAGGTCAGAGAGAGGGGGCTGGAGGGTTGTAAAGGTCTGTTTTATTGTGACAGCCTTCATAGCAAAGTCCTGGAATTTTAACGTAGGGGTCCTATAAAAGAAGGCAGTGCCATGGTAGTGTTATCTAGTGGAAGGCTGCTATAAAGTGCTGTGCTCTGATACAGAGGGGGATTACAGGCGCTGGATGGTGCTCTATGTGCTCCAATGCAGTAATGTGAACTTTTGATCTCTGGTTATGTTGATTATTGCCCACGGCAGAGTAGTTACACCACCCCCTCCTCTCTCTTTCTGTCACTCCCTTACCTCTCTAATGAAATCTGCCATGTCCTGCTCAAATAAATGTGACTAGGCTACAGAAGGGTACTCGAGTGCACATGTTTTCCTCTTATTTAAGTCTTAACTTTTCCATGAAATCGTTCCTTTAATTAATTAATCAGTGGACTTGTGCTGGAAATAGATACAGTTGGCTAGAAATAGCCAAAACCTCTGCTGGCAGGTAGGGAAGACCAATCTAAATTTACGTAAATTCAGATTGGCAGTGGGAAGGGGGCACTGTAATCTTAATCCTGTTTGAACAAGGTTAAGAGTGTGCATCGCACAGCAATAAATCACCCCTGTCCTTTAAATAATTCACCTCTGTCAGTGTGCCACTTTGTTCCAATGCTTCACCCTAACTATGCGTCTGCATCGTGTGTTTGTGTATGTGTGCGCACACATGCGTTTCGTGGTTAACATTTCTATTTAGGGCACAGGTATACAGACCTCTGAGCGTTGCAGTGGGTTTATTTGTTTCCTTGTATGACAGCTAATCCACTTACCTGGCACTTGCATACACACACCTGTGGGTGGGTGTGTATGTGTTCAGATGCAGTTGTCTTAACTACGCTTGTTTGTTTAGAAGCCCTCTGCCCTCGGTACAGAAGGGTTAGGCGATTTAAGAGCTCGGAGCTGGAGAGATAGTAAGGGCTAAAGGGGGGAGGGAAGGACGAGAGTCAGATGAAGGCCAAAGAAGTCTGATAAAGTTTAGTAGGTGGTGTCATTGGAAAGTCAGATAGTTTTGTGTTATGAGATGCGTTTTGATATAGAGTCATGCTGTATGCTGTTTTGACTGCAGTGTTGTAGACCTCACAATTTGGAAAGCAAGTTTTCCACATGAGCTGTTTTATTCGCTCATGTGCGACACCTACAGAAGTCGGTCCCAGTACGACTCTTGTGGATAAATATAAGCTGCAAACTTGAGCTGCACTCAGTACTACAGTACTACTTCACAATAAATGTCAGCTCTTTCCAAATTATCCTGCAACCGTTGCGCTGCAGAGGAAATTCAGGTGTCCATTAAACATTTTTGCAATCTGTCAATTGTTGTTGTATTGTCGTCAAATACATGTTAACAAAAGGCGTAAAACGCTGATATAAAACTGATATTGTTATCATTTAGCAATAGTGCTGTTGCGTGCATTTACACAAATTAAAAGGTTAAGTTTATGGCTTCTCGTCAGTTAGACAGGGTACCTTCACAGAACTGGAGGAGATCCAGGAGATGGCTCTTAAATGGGAAATAAATCCATCCAAAGCATATTAGGCTGGCCACTGTATGTGTGAGAATTAATAACATAGTTTGAGTTAATTATGTATTTGTACGTGATATTGCACGAGTGATTAGAACCTGAAGTTGGCTGTGTGCACTAAGTGCATTCAAATGGGTGTGAACCGATCTTCTAGTGCAGCAGAGTTTTTGCCTTTGTATTCTTACTCGACCGTGTTTATTTTTCTCCCTCTCAGGCAGGACAAGCTCAAGGTTCATATGCGGAAGCATACAGGAGAGAAGCCTTACCTGTGTACACAATGTGGAGCTGCCTTTGCTCACAACTACGACCTGAAGAACCACATGCGTGTACACACCGGCCTGCGCCCCTATCAGTGCTCGAGCTGCTTTAAGACTTTTGTGCGCTCGGATCACCTGCACCGCCACCTCAAGAAGGACGGCTGCAACGGCATCCCCTCCCGTCGAGGCCGGAAACCTCGCGTGAGAGAGCCAGGGCTCCTCGAGGCCCCCGTGGGCCTGCTTAGCCCCGGATCCGACACCGGCCCCGGGTCTCATACCATCAGGGGAAGGCGGCGATCGGAGTCGACCTCGGCAGCGGAGGTGGAGGTTGCTGCTGGAGCACATGCACACAGTCCTCAGCTGCAGGAGCTAGCAGGGGAGGCAGGGCCCTGAGACTGCAGGGAAGACAAGGACACTGCTGGACACCATAGTCACTCTGCACCGCCTGTGAGACAGGCCAATGAACAGAGAGGAGTAAAAGATGCAAAGGCAATTTAAAAAAACTACAAAAAAAAAACTACAACAAACAACTAACTATTCCTCTATAAACCAAATCAGGGTGTCACAAAAATCTAATCTTTATATTTCTTTCTCCTATTACTTAGGACACGGCGTAGAATTGCAAGCACTTAAGTTGGTTTATTTGTTAAAGAGCAAAGAACGCTTCAAATCATGCACCCATTACGTCCACTTTCTGGGTCATTTCTTTCTTTGTAATAATAGGGTTTTTATACATATGTGGCATATGTGCTTAGGCAAATGTATGATAGATACAAAGGAACTCTGAGCAACTATGCAGTTGATTTAGATTTTTATTGGTTTTGTCCTCACAGCCTTCAAGCTCTAAGAAAGGTGTCTGTCAAGCACCTTCTGGCTGCTGTACGGGTGAAGCGAGGACAAATCCTCCCAATGAAAACAACTCTTTTTCTATTCTTTGCAGGTCTGAAATGTACAGTTACCATAGAAACACCATTGCCACAATATGGCATATGCAAGGAAAACTCGCCACAGTTTTGATGCAACAGATTTTCTTCTCTAAATGTTCCAGAAAGAATGAGGCAGGGGTTTGATTGAAGTGTTACTTACTCTCTAAAATGCATTTTAAGAATCTATGGCTTGTCTTACTGAAAAGCAAATTCACTTTGAGTCAAATCCACTTTAATGGGGGCTCGCCAATTGCAGGACTCGGGAATACGAGGGGTGGAGGGTTTGTGTTTCTGAAGCACTACCATTGTCAATGTACGTGTTGGCTTTACTACGTGGCCTCTTATCCCTCACAGCCCTGCAGTGTCAATATGTTTGTTCGCCCTTTTGATTTTGTCTTAATTTTTGTTTCTCAACATTTTATTTTTTTGACTGCTTTGGGTACTTGACACTTTATTATTGTATACATGTATATACAGCAGGTGGTGATATGACATTGGCCCCTCTTAATGCTGAGTTGTAGTTACCAATCACATTTTTTTTTCCTCGTAGGCTTGATGTCATATTTCTCAGAGAGTGAAGCTTGTGGGTGAACAAAACAAACTGTATGAATGTTCGATGAGAGAGGAAAAAAAAAAAAAAAGCATTGATTCACCCATTTGTCCTAAACTTAACACTTGATATGTAAAGTTCCTGCCCAAAGGACGAGGGGGTCGATTGAATGAATGTGCTTAACTTTTTGCAGTTTTTCGGATTCTGTCCTTGTGTGACAAGGCGCGGGTAGCACTTAACCAACCGCAGGTTAAAGGAGCCTGAGTGAGAGAGTGACAAAGAGTACGAAGAGATAGACGAGCACCTTTTTTTTTTCTATGTTTGCACAGCTTTACTAAAGATATCCAACTGAGGGAGAGGTAATATTTAAAGGAAGCGGGCTGATGTGCGAGGAGGTTTATGCTTATTCCAATCTTTTTGCCCTGGGGACCACACAACCGTAAGGCAACCTGTATGATGAAGAGAGCAATAAATACCTGTCCAAGTTGGGAGGCCAAATAGGAGCGCAGCTGCAGCTGGTTGATGGGGGAGGGGATCGAGGGAAGGGGAGGGGGATCTCGCAATGTCTGTTGCATTCCAAAAAATAATCTCCCCCAGCTCAGCCACGTTTCCAGGCAGGAGGGGATCAAATCAGGCCTTTTCTCTCGCTCCCTCTCCCTCTGTAGTCCTCTAATGCCCCCGAACCAGCCTGGAGGGGATATTATTATATTAGAGCCTGGTGTTACTGTGGGGAGGACGCCTGGTGCTGGCAGTTTAGTGTGCGACTGTGTTTGCGTGCGTGTGTGTGTGTGTGCGTGGCAGCCAGGGTCCCTCTGGCCACATCATCAGCGTGTGTGAGTCAGCCACAGCCTGTTCAAACATGCACCCTGAGCTGCCAGCCCCAATACACTTTGTCTTGCTAACACACACACATGCTCACTGGGTCCAGGTATCCTGTAGAGAAGGGGAAAACACCAGAGCTGACATATGTGTTTGAATATTGTCAGCGACTCCATACGTTTGGATTTGTTCGTCTTAAACAATAATAAACTCCAGAATCCAACTTTAGTTTCCATACGAGCACATTGAGCCTTTTGCGTTAAGAGAACATGCATGTGATGTAGAGTGCCCCCCCTCCCCCAGCCCACCCTGTAATTTCTGCAGTAGTGCTTTTTTTCAACTATCAGTCCTTTTGCACGTTGGATGGGAAGAGGCAGGTCATGATTGCACTTTGTTACTGAGGAGGGCACTTTGGTCAACGAAACGGGTACTTTGAAACAAACCAGTTGCAAATGAGATCAGCCTTTTCCTTCAGTGCGTGATGGTGAAGTCGAGCTCCTTCGCTGGTTTCGTTCAGGTTTTGACAACAAGCTGCCAAAAAAGAAAAGAGGAGACGAGTGTCGATCTCTACAAGAGAAGCCAGGCAGGTCCACACACACAAAAAAGAGTAAATCAATCCATGTAACTGAATGCACTTGAATTTAGTTGTAAAAAATCTAGTGATTGGTTTTTTTGGGGGTTTTTTTGTTTTGTTTTTTCGTCTTAATGTAAAGTAAGGGGATAGAAGGAGGAGGTAGACAAGTGGAAAGAGCACTGTGTGCGTGCATACATGCATTTTTATTATTTTATTTTTTTTGCATGCATGTGCACAAGCATGCATTGCTGGCTGGCAGGCTGAAGGGTCTCAGGACAACGCTGGATAAACAAACTTGGTGTCTACCCCATCTGTTCACCAGCTACTCTAAAATCTACATGTGTTCTCGGAGGAACTGCAGTGATAATAGGTCCGCGGTACCACAGGAGCGAAAATACCATATTGTAGAACAACACATTGGACAGTTGCTTGTTTACTTCACGGCTCTCTTGGTGCAGATTTGCATAACTCTTTGTTTACCCTTGTTGGCCATTGTCAGGGTTTGGCCAGGTCTTGAGAGTTAGTTTCTATTTTTGTTGTTTCGTTATGATAAAGATGGGGTTAATTATTGCACAGTTTGACTCCTGCAGGCAGACCGATGTAAGCGGGGCAGTCTAATGTCTTGTGATCTTCATGTATCGTGGTACTTGGCTTGGACTGCCTAAACCCACTTATCTTGACGTGGCAGAAGTTTTACCTGTCAAGACCCGTGGGTCATCTTAAACACAATGTTTCATTGGACCTTAATGTTTCCCCAAATGTCTTATGTTGTTTGTTGATTAACCAAAGTTTTTTGCCCTCCATCTTAGTCTACTGTAAACAAGAGATATTGAAAGTATGTCTATAATTTTTCCAGGCTGGGCCTCCCTGACTAAGCCACACACAGATGCCCTTCTCTGGAATACATATGCAGAAATGTGTGTCTACTTACTTGAGTTTGCTTTCTCTCACTCTTTGTATCCTTGTGGAAAATAGAATTTGAGGTGTAAGGATGTATAGCCTTTTGTTTCTGTCTACACTCGTTTTTCTTAAAATAACGTGTTGTGCTACAGCTATTTTTTTTTCTAATAATTATACGTGAGTGTGAGTGTGAGTGTGAGTGTGCGCGTGCGTGTGTTGTGTGTGTGTGGTCATGGTTTTGGGATGTTGTGCCAGGAAGGTGGGGCTAATGGGTGCTTGGGTGGGGTTATGGATAAAAGCCTGATAGCACTGGAAGTGGTGCTTTAGCTGAAAGAGCAAAAGTTTGCACTAATGTTAAATGTCCTTGTCCTGCTTATGGGAAAAGGACAGGGGACCTCAGAAAGGCCTGCGAGTTTCCATGAGCACAGAGCAGTGTGGTTAATACTCAGTGGTCTCATTAAGAGTCCATCCAACCCCTCCGTAGAAATAATCATGTATAGTATATTCAAAATATACAGACGTCCAGCAACAATAAACACCAAAGGAGAAAAAAACTGCTTTCATTTAAGTCACTGGGCATTTTAAGCTACCAATGTAATGTTTGATTATTAGTTTTACTATTTAATCTGAAGGCTCTTAAAAAGAGATTTGGGATTTTTTTTTTGTCTTTTTGATAGAAGTCAATCATACATGCTCTTTATACATGAAAATCTAAATATAGAAAATTTAGGCAAGCAGCAAATCTTCTCTGAAAAAACAAAACTACTCGTTCCTGATGATGGCTCAGATGCAATGTTTGACGATGCCACAGATACTCATTCCAGTTCTTTGTCATTCTGAGATTTTTGTCTTATGTTGAGTCCACTGACGGATTATCGATCCTAAAATCTGATGTGTTTTTTAAATACTTTTGTTACTGCTGAATTGGATGATTTCCATTTACCTTCTGCTGTTTGAGCTGAGTTTAAATGTTCTCTGGTTGAGACAGACGGTGACTTTGTGGCCTTGACTGGGCAGTGCTGAGCTCATGGTGGTGTGTGTGTGTTTTCAGACGGTAATGTCATGCGGCGTGGGGCTGAGGCTCACTCCCACCAGGTGGATTGTGCAGACACAAGGGCCACAGTGTGCCTTATGTGGACAGGAATAAAAAATTTTAAAAAACTCTATTTTTTTTTTTTTTTTTTTTTTTTTTTAACCATTTAAACACTTTTCTTGTAACATTGAAACCAAATTGTTAAAGCCGATTGGCTCGTACTAAAACGATAGTTAGTACTGAATGAACTGATATATTAGTGTCTCTCTCTGCCTCCGTGGCTCCACAGCTGGTGTGTCCCCAGCCTCAGCCCCAGGCCAAGGTTACTCTGACACAGGCTGCACCAAGACAGTCTCAGAACTTCATTGCAACTGTGTTTTGTTTTGTTTTTTCCTTTTCTTTCAAATGGACCTTGAAATGTTATTTTTTTTCTGTGCTATTATCAAAGACTTTTTGTAAATCTATCTGAGAAGGCCATAAAACAAAGACAATAACAAGCACGATAACTGCAAAAATCAAACAAAGCAGAATGGGGTGACTGTTAATATGGTGATATGGCGACTCGTGGCAGCAGAAAGGGGGCTGTTTGCTTTGCTTCGTCATTTTGCTGCACACCTGATTTATTTTTTTGCACGTTTTCCATCAGGCTGTCGAAGCAGGGCAAGCTGAGCGCAGCATATGCAGTACGGCAGTATGCACAGCGTGGCTCTGGCACTTACACAGACAGCCCTGGGTCCTTCAGAGAGGCAGGCTGCTGTCTGTTGGCTGCTCTCAGCCAAGCAGGGACAGTTTGCACTTGGAGTCTTTCTCTGTCTCTGGAGATACAAAGGTTGGCATACAGGGAGGAGCAAATCCAGGTGGTAGGAGAGGGCTGAATGTTGTTTTCAGGGATGAGAGCAGGAAGCCCAGGTAACTGTTCAGTGTTGGTCCTCTACGCTGATGGGAAATACGTGGCCTAAGAAACGTAACACAAAAGAGGTCACCGCAGAGTTCACATTGGGGAACTGCAACCATCAGAATGTTGCATATCTCTTTTGTCTCTATGTAAGTACTACTCAGGTGGAAAATTCACTGCTATGCATTGGGTTTCAGTGTCTGCTCAGTTGATCGTATGTCTAATCAAACTCTGTGTTCTTGTTCTGTCTTTTCTTTCTTCGTCATACAAATATTTACCGTAATAATTCCCAGAAAGGTACTGGCATGAACAGTTCCCTCTTTGTAAAGTGGATGCGACCAACCTGTTTCTCCATCTAATATTGATCCAGTGAATTGTTAGTTGGAGGGAAGGAAGCCACTTGGGATTCAGTCTTATTAGTCGGACTGTAGCGTGCTTGAAAAGACATGGGGTTGGAAAAGCACAGGGGAGGGGGGTTTGCGTGTTCTCTCACTTTCTTCTCCCATCGCTCTCCCTCTCTGTGGACTCGTAGTCAACATCTTTGCTGCCGACTGGCTTTTGATCAAAGATCACACACCCTCAGCAGGGGGATTGGCAAGGGAGGGAGGTGTGGATGAGGTATGGAAGAGGAGACATTTTCACTTGTTGGTAACGTAAACCAGTTTGGGATACATTCCATAACTTCATACTGTGATTCCCACTTTTTAGCAAGGTCGTGCGTCTGAGGAGGGACAAGGAAGTGTTAGACATTCTGCGGATGGCTGTTTCTGTCCGTCTGTCTAGCCTCTTTATCCCACTACTATGTGACAGACAGACATGTAGACAGATAGTTTAAAAGGCCCCGGTGTAGCACTATCAAGCTGCCTTTTATCAGCTTCTGCGATTGTAACAAAAGCACTTTGCGAAAGGCCATCCTGAAATTGTGTGCTTTTATTTCATCCTTATCAATATTGTTTTGGTTATTTTGTCCCTGTCTTTTTGTTTTCTCAATGCAACTGATTATTTAAATGCAAAAACTATATAAGAAAAAAACAAAAAAAACAAGAAAAACTTGAATATTTGGTATCTACAATGAAGATGGCTGTCGCCTCATCACAAACAAACACATCTCTGTTATATGTACCTGTTTTGCAGCTTGTTGCATAGTCACGCATTGGTGATGGTGGCGGGGGTACGGGACAAACCTCCCCACCTGCTCTCTGTTCGCTGTCTGGGATCTTTTGGGGAGAAAGGTGATTTGATTTAATTTCTGGAGACTCTTTATTGAAACAGAAACCTGTATAACAGTTGCAAAGCTTTCTGAGAAGGCTCGCTCTGCTGAATGTTAAACATGCAGTGTCATATCTACTGCAGAATCTCTTTGTCTGTTGGTAAAGGTTGGATCTGGTATCCATATTAAGTGTAAATGATTATGAAAAACAGGACGAAATGGTCAAATAACCATCATTTCCATTCTCAGATCCGTACAGACGTACGTTTTGGCCTTAACATCTACGACGAATCAAGATTACTGCAGTAGAGCGGAAAGAATACTATCGATCATAATAAGCATTCATTAAATTTATAGTTCAGTAAATGGTTTAACGTGGGAGAGAAGACAAATAGGCTACTATTTATAGATTGAGTTTAACTGTGATTACTATAATTCTTTATAGAGTTGTTTTTTTTTGTTTTTTTTTCTGATGCACATTTTAAAGTGACCCAGTTCTCAAATCTGGACATTTCAGTGAAAATCTACACTGAATCACACGAAGCAGAAAACAGCTGCTCCACATGTGTCTGTGTGTGTGTGTGTGTGTGTGTGTGTGTGTGTGTGCGCTGTTTTTTTTTTTTCTTTCTTTCATTCCTGTTGCTGGGCACATGCATCGCTCTGTGTATCACAAATTTATCCCAGAGGTGGAATACCTGCTCACTTCTACCATTAACTCCAGTGACAGCGACGAGAACATATAAATAGACATATTCAGAGTGCAGCAGATGTTTTTCTCTACATGATTCAGTGTGGATTTTTATTCCATAACCTCTTTTGTTTTTCTGCTCATTGCTAAGAAATCTGTCAGTGTGTATCTGTGGGAAGCTGCAGGGTGAACTATAGGTGATTTTTTTTTTTCTTTTTTTCTTTTTTTTCTTCAGAGAATTTGCACTTTTTGGCAACACAAAGAAATTGTACATGAGACCACTAAATCCACAGTCTAAACCATATAATTCCATTTTGTGTCTTTTATTTGTTCTGTTCTTCTTCCTTTTTTTTTTTTTTTTAATATATCCAAAAATGTCTGGCATCTGGTTGTCTGGTTTAAAGAATATAAAATCTTTCTATTAAAAATGATGGTTGCAAAGCTTTGTGTGGATAATTTTGTGTGTGTGTGTGTGTGTGTGTGTGTGTGTGTGTGTGTTAACATAAGACACAAGTTTGTGTAAACAGTGCTCTTAAGTGGAAGTGTTATAAAACAAAGGCCTGTTAATTATACAGCGTGTACAGTGTTATAGTACTCGCTATCAAATAACTTTTTAAATTCTACAGTTGTAACAGGAAGGTGTTAGAACAACACCTGCCTGTCAACACAAAGCTAACACAATTACCTTTAGAAAGATGTGTAATCATAGCATTCTTATTCTATGTGATCTTCTTAAATTATGTGTTTATGTTTTACGGCCTTCCTCATAAACGGCTGCCACCTATGAAATCAGTTCTCTAAACTGACCAGAAGGTGGCAGTATTGTCGCTGCTATTGTCTTTTTAAGGCTGAGTGAGCCTCATTTTGCTGCCATACATCTCTTAGGCTCATTCATCCTCTTCACCAGACATGACAACACAGTGTGTACATTATGACTGAAGAATAAAGACCTCCCCAGTTATTAAATAAATAACAGATTACTGTGCACACCATAATGCTTCTTATATTTCAGTTATAAATGCAGTACAAGAGAACTGTAATTAGCTAGTTTGGTTCCAAAGGAAAAGGCTAAGATGCTATTTAAGCATATGAATTAAGGTGAGGCCATCTCTACTATTTTTAAGACTAATTCTAACAAGAAGTCCTGAGGCAGACTGCAACCACAGGCTTGTTGTCACCCTGTCTTCCTGTTTGTCTCAGCCTGTCTCCCCAAGGCAATCCCGCGGGGTGACAGGGGTCACAGAATAGCTCATTAACCCCACCCCAATAGCCCACACATTGCTGCAGTCCTCGGGCCCTGACTGCACGTGCACACACACATT